TACTCAGGATTTTTGTATTTAATGAAGACAACATACCCAAATATTCCTTTAATTTAGTTAAGAAAATATATCTCATTATATCTGTAGTGAGTGAGGGTTTCTGTAGTTTACTTTCAAGATTTATGTAACTTAATGAGTACAATATACCTGAGAATTATGTAGTGGAGTTTAAGAATTATGTACCATTATAGTGTAATTATTATGTAGCAGAGTAAGATTTACGTAATATAGTGTAGTTATTATGTAGTAGAGTGTGGGAGTGAGGCGGGAGGAAACTGAGGTGGAAGCAGGCAACTACCTTGCGGCTCCCGGGTGGTCACTGGCCTCCACCACCACGCCAACTGGGTAAATATTTGTCATCGTGAGTGTTATGGAGTGAGTCTTGTGTGTACATGATGTGTTTCTTTTGTGTACATGATGTGTTGTGTGTGTACAAAATGTTTATGTGCTGTGTAACTTGTGTGTGTACATTACATAATATGTGTTGTGTGTGTACATTGTGTAAATGTTGTTTATGCACATAATGTGTATGCGTTATGTATGTGTATATGATGTGTGTTGTGTATGCATAATATGAACGTGTATTGTCTCCTATACTGTACATGAAGTATGGGTGTTGCGTGCATATGTGCGTTCATGATGTACAGTATATGTTTTCAGTGTGTATGATAAATGTGTCCAATTGTAAGTTATGTGTTTACAAGACGTACATTTATATTTGGTATATGTGTGTGTGTGTGTGTGTGTGTGTGTGTGTGTGTGTGTGTGTGTGTGTGTGTGTGTCAGGCATCACTTTTACCTCCATCAGCCAGGCCATCACCGCAACACTCTCCACAGCTGCCTATAATAGAGACATTCTAAACAGTCTATATTAACTCCACATCTTGCGTAGGAAATTATGAAAACATTTCGAACATTAAACCACCAACTAACTTTAAACACTGTGTGGTGTGTGTGTTCCGTGGTTACTTTCATACACTGTCATCTCCCAGAGCTCATACAAAAACTTGAATCCCTTTTGGCTGTAGACTGATAACAATGCAATGTCCTCCGGCTGTCAACGAGCACTATCTACATAACTTGGAGCTGTTAGGAATACTTCTTCCCAGTTAAAAGAAGAAGGAACTACTAAAACACACAGCTGGTGGCACAAGAGCCTCCATGCTGACATAATAGAACAAGACCCACTTTTCACATATATGTGAACAAATAACACCACCATCGGACAAACATAAATTAACACCCATTACAATAATGAATACCTAGCTAGCTTCGCTTCCCTCCCTCCCCTCCACCTCCCTCCCTTGAACGGGCGGGCGTGTGCTGCGTGCGGCCACCACCCCAACATTTCAACTCGTCTCCGCTAGGTGGACAGCCCACCTGCTATCTACCCCTCCCACTTTTCTTCCCGTTTCTATGCTTTACTTCTCTCTCTCCTCTCCTCTCCCAGTGCAAAGTCATTTGCCACTTTACTTCATTATTATCATCATCAATACCTTCACATGCTGGAGGTGTCAGCCGTCAGTCATCCTGCGGCTATCATTTCCTTCACTTCCCCTTGGCTTTATAGGTTCGTCTGTTTCAACCTCCCGTCAGCAGATGGCCACGTGGGCCAGACTTTGTAAGTAAACAAAACAGGCGGAGGTGACTGGATTTCCTCATCGAATGGAAAACTTATTGTCTCATTTTTAATTCTTTCTTACCTTCTTTCTCTACTTTTTTATATCTTTATATACTTTTTTGCATCATAGTTTCTGGGTTATTTCATATTATTATTCTTACATGAATTATAATGAAAGGCATCAATTACCAGCTATACATAAATTACATATACTGTAATGATCCACAAATCGATGCCAGGCATTGCCAAGTGTTGTGGGATTGCTCACCATTGCTCATCACATCAATACCAAAATCTCTAAACCTGTCCCAAACGTTCCAAACAGTGTGTCAAAACGTGAACACACAACAAGTTAACCAATTACGCGATGTTCAGGTATATACGCTAATATTCATTCACATTTTTCGTCTCGGGTGGTCATCTGACAACTACACACCCACAGTTAATCCTCCCTGGTGACCAGACTGTAGGGCCGACTGATGAGAAAACAAAAGCAAGACAACTCCTCTGGGCAGTAGATGGCTGCCGCTCTCCACAAACACAGTAGAGACACAAGGCCACCTGTTGAATTCTCAAGACGAGTGTAAACAACTACTTTCTCTCATAGAACAAATCGTCTTTTTTTCACATTAAAATCCATCACCTAACAGACAGACGGACGCCTGCTGGCTGAGGACGGCGGCGGCGGGGTATAAAAGCCGGTTTCTACCTGGTGGACAAAACACTTTCAAGGTAAACACGTGATTCATACACTGCCCTCGGGGTCATGGAGGGTCAGGAAAGGTTCTGTGAGATACTGGGACCAGCATGGTAGTTTAACAGCCAATTTTTCGACCCAAGTTAACTGTTATACTTTCCTACATAGCAAAATCCATTCGTGACCAGCACACACTACACTGCCTACCTTCTTTATTAATAATAAAAACAACTACAACACAATGTCAATAATAGACCAACATAAAGTGCAGTATATAACAAGTTGATACAAAACACATTAAGTTCACTCTCTTACACCCTTTGGGCACTTGATGTCCCATACACATAATTGGGACATACCGAATTTATTTAGTGGTTACGATAAATCTGTACCACTATTTACCTTAAAAGAATACCAGTCTAATCTATGTGTGTGTGTGTGTGTGTGTGTGTGTGTGTGTGTGTAGACACAGAGAAATCTTGCTTGAACGTGAACTAACGAGGTGACTGTCATCTCTCTCTCCCTTTCTTACAAAATAGTCCATCATCTCACATATGACGCTTGCATTCTCTATTCCTATGTTACTCGTTCTACTGCATACTTTCTCCCTCCCCCTCTATAATGCTCCTCGTCTCCCATCCGCTATAATGCTCCTTTCTCCTCTCAATTATGCTCATCTCGATCAAGAATAATTTTTACCAGTCCTCAAAAAAAAAAATCACCTTAAGATGAACGGTGAAATAATTCTATTAAATAAATCATAATTTTTAAAAATAAACTTTCCTCGAAAAACACAAAATCAACGACATTAAACAACCATACAAGAGTATCACGAGACTCGCCAACACATCTATCTTAAAATAGTCCATTATTATTTTCTTACACCTCAGTGATATAATATTCAGTAGCCTCATCTCTGCCCTCAGCTGTACGTCAATAGAGAGGGAGACCCGTTTTCTACCAGCCTGACGTGATCGAGGTAAACGGGCGCTACTTAATCACGTGCATTATTGCTAACTGTGTGAGACTTCGGTTGGTGACGGGCCTTGAGCTGTTCTCCGTCAGACCCCTAAAGACCAATCTCCAAGGTATCAAGTCCAGTCTCCTAGAAGACTCGTCTCCGTGGAAGCCCTCAACCCCGTCTCCCTGAACACCCGAGGGGACGGCACAATATGGAACTGTGTAGGTTGAGTGAAAGTAAGTTGCCCGGGCGGGGATTACTGTACGGGGGCGAGGAGGAGGTAATAGTACAGTCGTAGTATGATGTGAGGGAAGGGGGATTAGGTAGCCAGATAAGAGTGTTGGGAGCGAGGTACGAGCCTCGAGTACTTCCCCACCATACTGTAGGTTTACCAGGACACCTGTGGCACGGGAGAGTGACAGCCACAGACAACAATAAGTACAAAGACCAAGACTGATACGCCGTCCTGAAGGAACCTCCGGCGGGGAACGAGAGCGTGTCAGTGCCCAACACACCAGGGGTTAGGGTTTCCAGGACCTCGGGACGCCCTAGAGGTTACCTTTGTCGTTCCTGCCAGGTTGTTACACGGCCCTCCTCTCCATCTTTCATGGCGTCTCCCTTGACTTTCTGCCTTCTCCATACAGTCTCCCCCCACACTGTTTCCCTCCACTCTAACCTACGCACTAACTCCCTCTGCGTATTTGTGAAATAAAAATAATAACCTCATATAATCCTTTTCCATTATCGTGCAAGGGGACACAATACACGGCGGCCGTGTACACCAATAAACAAAGTATCGATTTTTTTTCTGGCGTCTTTATCTTCATCAAGCTCTCGCGTAAGGTTTCCTGTCCTTGTGTACTGAGGTCTGCGTTCTGCTCTGTAAAACTGCCATTGGACTCTGTTAACAGCGTATATACACACGTAAACAAAAGAAATTCACCCTCCGAAACCTGGAAGATAATACGAGCAAATCACAGACAGACACTTGTTCGTTTCCCATCACCTTGACCGTTCTCCTCGTGAGTGATTCAGTCAGCCGTGTTTGACGGAGGTCTCAGGGTCACTCCACACCAGGCCGTGGGAACACAACACACTAAATAACTGGGTTACTATATTCATTCATGAGACTAATTTACAATTTACATAAACTTGCTCGCCCACAGCACGTGGTCTGGGTCATGTCTGGCCGGGGGCCCTGTACACCACGGCATGTCTGCGTCTTCTTCAACCAGCTGGTTTTAACTTCACAAAATAACGCCTTAGTCTGGTTGTAGGGTCGAGATTGTGTGCGACAACTTACACTTTTCACTTAAGTGTGTGATAATAATATATGTAAAGGGAATAACGTGGCTGACTGGGGAGAGGGCACCCTCAGTTCACCCAGCCGTGACTGGGTACCTAACTGTACAGTTGGGGAAAGTGAAGGCGGTCATATTCATTCTCAAGTCATGCTACACCGCTTCCTTGATAAACATGAGGTCTTACACAACACCTACCTTATTGTTCTCATTCTCAATTTAATTTTCCTCTGCTGCGTCGATAAAAATCATCATAGATCATAAAACAGAGTTGATCCGTCGGTAAACACAGCACATCTTACCTTCTCGTCCATAAGTTACACTCTATCAATTCAGAAATCAACAAAAGAAAGCTTACCCATCACCATCACCCATAAACCCAGCTCCACCACCTCACTGATGACACCTGAGTTTTCTTACCTTATACCCGGGTCCGAGGCGATGCATGGCGCACACCTGGTGGGCAGTGAGAGCCTCAGAGAACAGGTAGACCGCGCTCATCTGACCACAGAACACCCGCTCTTCATCCAGCTCCGGCGTCGCCCCGATGTAACACTTGTCCCATGTCTGTGAAGGAGGGCAAGTTAAGTTCAAGTCAAGTGAGGGAGATGGTTAAGCCCGGGGCCTCCTTGACACAGTAGTTACCAGTCCGATGACACAGTAGTTACAGGCCCCAGGACACAGTAATTACCGGCCCCATGACACAGTAGTTACCGGCCCCATGACACAGTTGTTACCGGTCCCATGACACAGTAGTTAACGATCCCATGACACAGTAGTTATCCAATGTCTGTCAGGGCATGGTAGTGTCAGTTTACTTAAGGTGAGGTAAAGTCATCCTTGGATGCCACGATGAAGGATTTCCCTAACATTTGTCAGATTTGGACTGGGTCAAGTCGGGTCAGGTAAGGCTAAGTCATATTTGTGTGCCATCAGGTAGGATTCTGTCCACGTCTGTGAATAGAAGGACAAGATCAGTTCAGATCAGTTTTGGGGTTAAGTGTGAGTTTAGGTGTTATTGTCCACCACTTGACACAGATGTAGGAGGAGGCCTGGGTGTACGGAGTTCGGTTGAGGCAAGGGTGGGGTGACATGGATAGGCTAAATGTCGACTGGGATGGATTTAGCAGTACAAATTCATCACCATACACCACCACCTCGTCCCTGTATCGCTATTTTCACCATAATCACCATTTACTGCCATCATGACCACTCCACATAATAATCATGTCGTTAATTGAGACGGGTCATGTCACGTCATTGGTGGAGATGAGTTACGTCACGTCATCATACTTACGTCATTGGTGGAGATAAGTTACGTCACGTCATTACACTCACGTCATTGGTGGAGACGAGCCAGGTCATCTCGGTGGCTGAGGCGAGCTGACCATTGACGAAAACTTTGATCTCACTCTTGCTCCACCTGTTGTAGATGTACACCACCGCCACCATGTACCACTGTAACAACAACAACAACATTAATACAACAGATCTATTAAAATACAGTATACATCATCATCTATCGTCATCATCCATCGCCATCATTCACACACGTTATGTCCATGTACGCGTCAACATCACGAATATATAAAGACAAAATTTCTTAAGAAACTAACCATGGAATATTAATAATTTACGTCAAGCTTAATAACATAATGGCAATAATTTAACTCATTAATGACCATCTATGTTAAATTTATGGCAACAGATAGATCTATCAACATTCACAATTAACTAATGGCAACAAAATCTAACACTACAAAATGTAAACAAGACTAATATGTAAAATAATGGCAACAATAACTCTCGGGCCAACTCGGATTTAACACTTATAAAAGAATCATACTGATATCAAGGTTCCATTATCAATCACAGTGTCAATACCATTCACGGTGCCAATACCATTCACGGTGCCAATACCATTCACGGTGCCAATACCATTTACGGTGCCAATATAATTCACGGTGCCAATACCATTCACGGTGCCAATACCATTCACGGTGCCATTACCATTCACGGTGCCAATACCATTCACGGTGCCATTATCACTCACGGTGACAATATCATTCACGGTGACAATATCATTCCGCGTCATATTACCAGAAACTTTTACTTAGCACTGGTGAAAGTAACTCTCTTAAAATTTCAAAGAAGTATTAGAAAAATATGATGAAGCTGTTGTAGTGACAATAAATGTCGTATGTATATATTTCTTAAAACATTATTTAGTCCACTACAATAAGCGAGTTTCTTTGGTACGTTTTCAATTGTATATTCAGGTTATATATTATATTTTATAGGAACACTTTCAACACGTTTATTGAAGTTTTTTTGTTTTTTTAATGTTTTATCCTTATATAATTTTACTAATTCATTTATCTGTCACTATTTCTTTCATCTTCATTTTATTAAGTATCGTATATTATGTATGTTTATTTTACTGATAGACTTTCAAGGACTACACGCAATAAGATGAATATACTGTATAGTTTAGTGATATTACAACACCAAAACTAAAGAAGCAAAAGAAAACCCCTCAAATTGAAATTAAACTATTTTAAAACTTTTAATTGAAGAAAATAATCGTTTGGAAAGAACTAGATTACCTTGATTTTGTCCCAGGTTGCTGAACTGACCCTCTGCCTCATTTACACACACTTGCAGGATTTCAATCGTTTCTCTTACTTTGACAACACAACATACATACTGTATATCGCTTCTCACTATATCTTTGTTTTTTATTTGTTTTATTTGTGGTCCTTTATTATTATTATTATTATTATTATTATTATTATTATTATTATTATTTTAATACCCCCCCCCCAGACCATGATGTGGGCCACTGAGCGTCCTGGTGGGCTAATCCCGTAAAAAAAAATTAACAATAAGATCCATTTCTATATCATCAGTTACGAGGAATAGCTACTCATCGTACGAGCCTCTATGATACCGACCCCCACACCTTAATCCACCCTACTGATTATAATTACACAATATCAGGCAGGTTAGTGGTCCCATTATAACTACACTGGATTATGTTGCTGTACATTACATCTTGATCTGCGTAATTTTTGTCCACTCATCTCGGCGACAATAAAACAATATCTTATTGAGATAAATTTGAACATATTTATACTTATTGTTCTGTCAATAAAGTATATATTCTTTATAGTAACGTGATTCATACGTACTTTTTTTATGAAAGTCATTCGGTAGAGTCGTAATGACAGTATGAATTTGTACTTTTGTTTTTCTTTTCTACATTTTAAAACATTGTGAGTTTTTCTCCAATATCATTAAAAACAGTTTTGTTTCAAATCTCATAATCAAAGTTTAATAGAAATGTAAAATATTTAAACGGCAAACTAACTATTACCTTTGATCATTTATCTAAATCAAATATATATATTTTTTATATACTGGTCTTCAAATCTACATTCTTACAAGTCTACTGAAATCATGTTCACGTGTGTGTTCCGAGTATCTGGAGTCTCCTGTAAATCTATTATATTTTCGTGTACGTCAAGCGTTCCAACTTCACTTAATAATTTTAACTGAAACGACAATTGAATTGTCTTTTAATACTGTCAGACCAATTATTACCAGTTCATGGCATGAAATGATTTGGTTGTACAAGTAGAAACGAGGGGCTGACGGTAGAGATTATTAAAGGGCAACACTGAAGGCAGGGGGACCAGGAGAGAACAGAGACTGGGATACAGAATCTTGAAGGAATGGTACCGTACTATCGAGGGTTATGACGCATCACGATCGCGTGTGCGACGCAAACCCACCGGCCAGGAGCAGATTCTCACTGATTTGTAATCTAGCAGGCGAACATTGGACCTAAAACAACAGAAATAACAAATCTACAAACAATAAGTAAGGAATACGTGAGTAAACTAGGCAGACGGACGGACGGAACATGCACACTTAAATGCCCCTTGGTCATGGCGGAGGACTGAAAATAGTGAAGAAAAAGATGTCTGGCGGGGACAAGAGTCGGCTACTGTGGAGGATGACCACCTCCACCCCACATGGTGTCACCCAAACACCCCGAGGGTCAGCAGTGCCACTCTTAATATAATTTGATTATACAGTGAAGGGTGAAAATGACCCAGCGTTATATTTTATGGCACAGGTTACACTCTAACTGAGGTAGCCTGAAGGGAACACTGAAATACTGGTACAACAATGAATAACACGAGGTTGTGGATAAATAATAATAATGATCAATTAATATTAATGATACGATATTAACAAATATTCGCCTCTCAACATGATCCCTATAATTATATTAACATTAATTAACAAAAAACGATTTAATGATTTAATACAGATAAATAGCCACATACACCTGTGTGATCCAATTTAAAACAGAGCCTTCAAGTACTTCCAGGTGCCCAACACGGCCTACAACAATACGTGTAGGTGGCTCAAAGCTGCTGTGACCTTCACTAAGAACTGCCTGGTCAGCACACTATCAGTCCATTCGACGGGGAAATAAAAAAAAACACTTTTCTTGTTTCAGTTTCTCTATTTTTCCAAGCGGACAAAGAACAAGGTCACGGGTGAAAGTGATCGTGCTAGTTTCCTGATGACATGGCCTAACATTTACACCATGTAGCGGCCCCCAGAGCTGACTCTTAACCTAATACTACCCAAAATAATAATGTTCAATCAGAACAGTAATACTATAATAGGTTTTAGTACAATGAAAATTGCTTAGTTATAATATAAAAAATCCAAGTGTAAGAGAGGTAACAATATGAGTCAGGATGAGATTGATAGACTATATTATGTAGTAATAATAAAAAATATAATAATAATAATAACAATAATAATAATAATAACAATAATAATAATAATATCTAAAACACACACACACAAAATTAGCGTACAGGTAGCCGCCCATCACGAGGATACACCTGATAGCGAACTCACCTTCCTGGGTTGGAATTCATACTTGATGCAGTGCTGGTAACCCTTGCCCTTGATCTTGAGGGAGGTGAGCACGAGGCAGTTACCCACGAAGTGTGCTGAGTACCCAACGCCCTTACTCGTCTTGAAGCTGTGGAGGAGAGGGGATACAGTACATTAGTGGCCTTGTAATTTACAGACACGGTACATAAACGAAGATGTGTGTGTGTGTGTGTGTGTGCGTGTGTACGTACTCTACCAATAATAAAAAAATAACAATTACAGGTACCACAGGGTGACTGGAGTTAATATATTATAATAAGCGTACAGTCACCCCACCCGCTGGTCTACACACAGCTGGGTGAGGGACGATCTCAACTGACAACTCATAATTATCTGTAGTTCTTGGGGTAACCTTGGGATGCAAAGAATATTAATGTGGTATAAGACAAATCGCCTCCCTGTACGTTTATCTGATAATGTTAAGACAGGGATGGTAATGAGTATAAATAAACGTATGCTCAAATAATTATATGCGTCGCCAGGAGGTTTTGAATAATAATAAAACTAATAATAATAATAATGATAATGATAATAATAATAATTGCAGTGCGGAAATGTGAGACTACTGTACCGTAGATTCCTGAGGCTGGCCGTACGAGGTATAAGCTACTCAGTATCTCCTGGAGATACAAGTCTAGTGAGTGGTTATCCAACTACTATTCCTCCCCTCCCCCGACATACACACACACACTCTAGCACGTATACAAATCATCTGACGTTAAAACTATCCAATAATGTTATAGACAGAACTACATATAATATACAACTTTATAACATCGTCTTCAGACTTTAACGGATAACGTCCAGTCTTAATTTTATTTAACATTTTTTATTGTTAAAGTATTACCTCCCAGTGGTGTCAGCTGACGACACAACACACTCTTCAACACTAGTTTTGAAATTTTAAGATTTTCATAATTTTTTGGTTGCAAACCTGAGAGGCAGTACAAGGCTTTTTATAACAGTGATGCAAGTAATACACAGTAATGTGCACCTAAAGCTGTCTCAAACGTTGCTTTTACTTTTGAATTCTACTTTTAACAGTAGTGTTCTGAAATATAATGGCAATACGAAAAAATACATACAATTCAGCCTTTAAATACTTAGTATCACTGCTACAAATTGTAAAGCACAATATTAACCATTTAATAACTAGTATTTATTTCATATTCCATTTTCAACATCTTAAAATTCACAAGAAGCAAAACACGTTCTAACCTACGCATTACACCAGCTCTGTCCTCAACTCTCACGACCCGAGAGAGAGAGAGAGAGAGAGAGAGAGAGAGAGAGAGAGAGAGAGAGAGAGAGAGATCATCTGTGGTTCTCAACAGCACCATAAGGCCAGGTGTCTCACTCTGGTTAACATGTCATGAGGAAATGCCCTCCTTTTCCTACCACCGTGTTCCACCATCGTATAATGACGGAGGTGAGATGACTGGTTTATTAGATGAGGACTCCGAGACAAATTAGCACAATCCTTCAACCACGGTGATGTTACTCGACTCCCTCTCCCGTCTGTACAAGTTTATTCTCTTCCATTCGTGATTTCTGTCCTATGTCTTTTCCATTAGTGTGTTAGTCCTATTTCTTTCCCTTTCGTGATCTTTGTCTTTCTCTACTCTCTCGTTTGTATTATTTCCTTCTTTCTATTTCCATTTGATTATACACTCATTTCAAAATCAAACTGAAAAGTGTACAATACTTGCATTCGTCCATATGTCAATTTCACAAGGAAGATTAACATGGTTACCTATCACCCAACCGTGCACCCACCAACCCGTGCACCACCACCCAGGGCACAACCAATCCATACAAGTTACAACATCAACCACACCGAAGTTACCAACATCTCAAGCTACAAAACTCTTATGTTCTTGTTAGGGATATAATCACCGCCAGAAGCTACACCTTTCGCCACGTGTACTCTTTCTCTCTCCTACCACAAGTTTCTAAGCGAAGCGCCTCACCACAGCGTATGTTTGCTCGTGTGGTCCACAGTTAATTGCCTAATCATTTAATGCAAGGATAAACGCGCCACTTGGTAGTGTAGTGTGTGTGTGTGTGTGTGTGTGTGTGTGTGTGAAAGTAGGAGGTACTATTATTTACCTTGTTATTTACCTGATATGCGTCTGAAAATACATGCATCTCTTTTTTCCGAATGTTAGACTTGCGGAAGCTAGTGAAAGGTTGAGGCAATTCTGATTAACTAACGAACTGACAGACTGATAGAAATTTTATTGTCGGCGTTCATGTAGTCTCTGGCCACTGGTAACTTTGTCACTTCATGATCTAGTTTATAGGTTAACAAAATCATTGTATACATCTGCACCGTGTAGGTATTTTGGATCACTTAATTCATATTTATTTATTTATTTATTATTATTATTATTTTATTTTTATTTTTATTTTTTACGGGGATTAGCCCACTCGGGCACAGGTCACTGGCCCACACCGGGGCCTGAGGAGCGAAAATGTATAATAATAATAATAATAATAATAATAACAATAATAATAATAATAATAATAAAGAACCATAGAGAAACACAAAATGAAGAAAAGATCGAAAGTGAGAAATAATATATGTATGTTGTGTTGTCAATAGTAAGAGAAACAAGTCCGACCCTGCAAGTGTGTGTAAATTTAGCAGAAAGTCAGATCAGCAACCTGGGACTTGGTCACAATTTTCGTGATGTTATAAATAGCAGGGTCTGCCATTATGACATTCTTACTGGGAAAAATCGATCTATCTACTAGTGCTACCGGCTACTAGTCCTGCTCTTAGGTAATACAGAGCTTCATAAAACTCGTGTGTCACCTCGCACCTCCTCCTACACAATAATGGCTCCTCTTAGTCACAGAAATCCTCAACACTGAAATATTCACTCATACACCTGGTGTGGACGTGACGAGAATATTACATATGAACCATCAGTAGGAGGATATTCCAAGTGCCCAGTCAGCCATTCGTCTTACTCCATTCACAAGTAAACAGGAACAGGAGCACTTAACGTCAGTGTCGACCAAATATCCATTAATTCATTCATCTTCATCTCACGTTCAGGAGCACAAAGTGAATTATGAATCGATTCACACCCATAACATCATCAAGCCGTGTCGGTCCTGACGGAACCATAATCACTTCTAGGACAGTTAACAAATCCTATAATTAAGCCAATTATAAGCAAATTAAAAGACTACCACTAGAGGTAGAGTTAATTTAAAACTCATTAATATTTGTGTGTCCGTTTTTCCGGAAACTGCAGCGCAATAATGAATCTATACATTTACCATAATTATCGCCAGTGGTGTAGACGCTACCTCATGTATAATATACTGTACAAAACACAACGGCCAATATTTAATACACTTTACTACATTGTTGTTTATATGTATTTCTGAGCTACAACAACGTGGGTCTTAAAGCACGCTCTCTCAACACACTATAAACTATCAAAAGTTAAGGTGAACAAATAAATAAACATTATAGTAAGACAAATTCTTCAAATCTACGTGTAATTCACATCTTCAGGAGTGAGTACAGACTAAGGCGAAATACTTGACAAGGCAAATATATAGTACAGTAGAGGAGAGTGAGATCAAGTCCCTAGGGGACCGTAGGTGTCCACAATGGTCCGGTCATTAGTCAGTGACCCTACTAATCTTCATAAGCACAGCAGCTGTCCGTAGTCAGGTCATAGGGTAAGATGACCCAACCTTCTCACCTGGTTACAAATCTTCTTAATTACAAAATTATCCAGTTTGTACATACCATTACTCAAATTCATGTTGACGAATTAAGTGTGTTTAATGAGACTGAATTCAATAATGTTCCTACTGACAATTGAATTACAAGGTAATATTGAGGAGGCATTATCCCAGTCAATGCAATGCTTATTATCTCTCATATGAACGAACAGAGCATTGGATTCCTGGTCTGTCCTAACACTATATCTATGCTGTTTAAATCTAGTTACAAGATCTTTACCTGTCTGGCCTAAGTAGAACATATTACATTCCTTGCAAGGAACCTTGTAAATGCAGCCGCCTGCATTGTTGGAAGAGTTTTTGATTAACATTTGTTTTACAGTGCATGTGTTTTTTTAAATGCCACATTAACGATCCAGGTTTACACTTTCCTAAACAACTTTCTAACCACAAACAATAAATGCATTTTCCCTTCTGTTAAGTGACCAACAGGTAATATGTTGCGTCTCCCATGCTTCTCTAAAAACACAAACTACTAATTATATTTCCTCCTGAATTTCAACCCCTTAAGACAGTCGTTTATTCTACAATCACCATTTACTCCACCAACAACTCATGCTATTTCATATGATTTCTTCTACCCAAGAACAATGAATATTTCAGCAGCTTTCAATTACTCACATTAGATACATTTATCGTCGTTTATTTCTAACCAATAACGATTCAACTGTTTTAATCACATCTGAACCTTCCAACAGCTGATCCATATTTCCATATACATTTCACCCTTGATAGAACTACTGTACCTTTCTATTTTTTTAAGTTCCTGAAATCACGCCTATTTTTATACAACTCTCAACACAGCATCTCTCGACATACATACCGCCACACCCACTTAAACAAGTTTGAGAATTTAACATCAGTTCCTGGCCATTCTGGGAAGCTCTGGGACAATTACGTTTGCACAACTCTCTGGGGTCGGCTGTATACAGTGCTACACATCAGGGAGAAAGGCGAAGATCCTACGACAGATGGTTCCTGCGACATCTCTATAGCCCCGCTAACCCTCACTTTTCCTGAAGATGTCGTAACACCCCAACTCTTACTAACAAATAGCCATCACCCGCTTATTCTCTGATCATATCCAAAATATCCTTCATCATCCCTCATATTCTTCTATCCCACACCCCTAAATAAACATACCTTGAGGCCATAAAATACCTTAAGAGTGTGAAGTAGCCGGTGTGTCATATAAAAAGTAAAGTGGAGGACAATTAAGCGGCGTAAAGCTGCTGTTGCGGGTCTCGGCCTGTATAAATGTGCAGGTCGACAGCCACTAACCATCCACTACTGGAGCTCGTCTTCTCCTGACAACTACCTCCTCCTCCTCCCAACACACACAAGAGAGATGGCTGCATCAAAGGTACAAACAATAAAAACGTTATCTTTTCAATTTTGCTAAACAAAATGACACAACGGACGAAATTTTTGACAACCATACCAGGACAACAGGAGTCATCATGTTCAAATTATGTTTATAAATAACAGGTTTATATAACTCTGTATATCCCCAATGTATATAACAATCCTCAAGTTTTTGTCTTGGTATAACAATATAATAACGTGTATGAAAAGATATAAACTACTCTAATTAAATATTTACATCACTATAAGTTTAACTTACGACAAATCAATCGCGCACTCACATTACTGTTAAGTTTACACCGTTCTATGAAACACTCTAGCAGTAGTATCACACAGGCAAGTTTACTGCACCATATATTACTACCACAAAGTAAGACACACTGACACCATGAATATTGTTCCGTGTTAAGCTCAAGTATTAATAAAACAATACAATAATTGGTTATCTTAAAGAATATGAAGGCAACTGATAACATTAGTATGTAATAATTATTCAATTAATTTATCAGTAGTTGTTAGGCAATGCATCTTTTGTGATGACGCTGGACACAGCTGGATATGGGATATTATAATTAAATAATTAAAATGTTTAGTTTCTAAAGCTTAAAGTTTTATCTTGTGAGAAGAAATGACTGCATATAACCTGTTCCCGAGTCCAGTAAGGATACAACCAATATTTTTGTCCTCAACAACCTAACTCCTACAGTTGCACCAGTGACCAGTAATACACTTCCGGTGAGTCAACCTAAATAAATAACTTCAAAATATCAAATGTACTGATACATGAAATGACCATTATAATTATCAAAGGCGGATCCCCCCATCACGGCCACTCGCCAGGAAATATATCAATCGAATTAGCTGTTTGATGAGTGCTGCTCACCCGTCACCATTCATTAACTCTCTAATTACATGTTCGCCACTCAGACCACCCCTCAATTAACGTGATTTTCCGTTGACGTAACATATTTAGGAATCACTAATTGCCAATCAGCGTTGTTAAATGTTTTACATAAAATAAGTAAAATCTGTCAAAGAATTTACTCCGCTTGAAATTGTAAAAATAATTATTTCAATATAAATAGTTGGGCGTCGTATTCACCCTGGTTATTACTTTACTGTAGCGCTGGCTGAGGCAGACACTGTATATTAGCTGAGGAAAGAACTGTATCAGCTGAGGTAAAAGGTATATGGCTGATGAAGGCACTATACTGCACATCACCCTCTGACATCTTGTACTTCCCCTCCAGCAGATGGTTCCCGTGGTGGTGCTGATGGGCGTGTGGGCGTCTTGCCTTGCCGTACCGCAGTATCCTCCCCCCCACCCACCACGGTACACCCCAGCCCCCTCCTACAAGGAGCCGGCACGCCCCTACAGCTATTCCTACTCTGTTAATGATGAATACAAGGGCCTGCACATCAGCGCTGGTGAAACCTCCAATGGGGCCAGCGTACAGGTAGGGGGTCAAGCACACCTGGTTATATGGTTACAACCTTCACATTATCACCTTAATCACGTGTACATGACACAACAACTCACCTGATCAGTTTGAGGACCTCGGTCACTACTGCTACACATTACACATTTAACTAACCTTTTAGTAGAATAAACCATTTAAAAAAAATATGTCAGAAGGTCTTTAGTTACCTGTTAATATTGCATCTACACTCTTTATTGTCAACAAACTTTGGACATAAAAAACAACGGTCTTATGCCCCACTGTTGTGCAGCTTCTGATACCCAATAGTATCAACCCGCATAAAGTAACCTCAGTTATCATTTAGCCTGTGGTAACCTACCGCATCAGGGTACCGGGAGCCACCTCTCGGCTACTCATTAATCGCTCGTTCTCCTTCGTCTTTCCAGGGGTCGTACCAGGTAGCCCTCCCTGACGGTCGCCTCCAGAACGTAGCCTACAACGCCGACCACTACGCCGGGTACAACGCTGATGTCACCTACACCGGGGAGGCCCAGCACCCACACGAAGCTCCCCGGTACCTACACGAAGCTGCCAGGTACCCACACGAAGTTCCCAGTCATCCCCCGGCCCATCACGGCTAGACCAACCATAACCAGCCCTCTCCTCCACCTGGCCTACTCTATTATATCTGCTTTAGCTTCCAGTTCTTTTTATTACCTTCGCAAGAACTATTTAGTAGTATGTTAACGTAGTTGTTCTGGAGCCCCGCTGTTTGTGGCATGGCGCTTTCTTTATCCACAGGACAGACTTCTCCACTACAAATTAATGAAGCCTTTAAGAATAAGCAAGATTTCATAAACAAAAATGAGAATTTAACGTTTTTTTCTTCATATTTTTAAAATACTGTTTCAATAAGATTACTCCCGCCCACAGCGTTTATTGATGTTAGATTCTTTTCAGCGATCCGTACTGAATGCTTCATTGTGTTTTTTAAGGACATAAATTACTTTATGATCGGTAAAAAGTGGTCAGGTCACCTACTTGGCTTCTGAGGCTTCACTGATCTAATGGAAGTCTGCTCCGTGACTCAAATTGGCACATAATGAGCTAGTCAGTGTTAAGGCAACAGGTGTGACAGCCGGCAGTGTCTGATCAGCTGAGGAAAACCGCCAACACCCTACACGGCCACTACAGCCCAACACCTACTACACTTCCCCACACAATATATTCATCTTCACTATATCTCATATTCATCTTCACTATATCTCCACCATCACAGCTTCCTACATCTACAGTATTACACACTCAAGAGTCACTATATTCCCAATAACCACTACACTCCCAAGTACAACCCCTACACCCCACACGTCCACTGGACACCCACTACACTCCCGTCAACACACTCAGACGCCGCTGCCATTTTACTTGATAAATTGCTTTGTTTAATATACAGTACAGTATTTTGTTTCTTGTTGAAAACTGTAGCACAGATTGCAAATACTTTGTAATAAATGTTATTAAAAAGTTACACTGAGTATGAGTGGAAATAAACCCCCAAACCCCCATATATATATATATATATATATATATATATATATATATATATATATATATATATATATATATATATATATATATATATATATATATATATATATATATATATATATAATCGAAGACAAAAATATGAAAATTATATTTTCAAAATGTTATCTCAAAGGTGTCAAGTTTATCATTGTAATAAATGTCAGTTTATCCATCAAATAATCCCGACAAATTCACACCATCGTGGAAAATGGCCGTAAAATGTTTATAATGATAAAGGGAAATGTTAGTTTACCTCTGCAGTATAAATGTTTATTGCAGTTACAAGAAGAAATCTTTTTAAGTGGTTCGCAATGTGCTCTTCTGTTTAACACACACACGCACAAAAAAATCCCCCCAAACACGTATAATAACTCCCACACGTATGTATCTTATACAAATACAAACATTCTCCGCAAAAAAACATACGTCTCGCCAAACACACAAAACACCACTCCCACAAACAAATACCTTCTCCCATGCAAACACATTCCTCAAAACTCCCGCTACAACACAAACACTCGCCAGGGTTCTCACAATAAAACTTCCCCTGACATATGTATCATGTTTCCTAATTTTAAAACACTTCATTATGTACACAGTGCTTATTTTATATGGCCACCGCCATTTCCTTGAAGCCATTGTAAATTGAATTTTGTCTTTTTGCTCACTGTTAAAGGCCATTGAAATGTGGTGTTTCAGGAAAACATATGGAAAAGTACTAAAAATAATTTAGTCATATAATTAGTAATGGGGGGGGGGGATATTAACAGAAATATTAATGGGCAAAGTTGAGGGTAGGAGGACCAGGGGGAGGCAGAGACCGGGATGGATGAATGAAATTAAAAACTGGGTCCCCAGAGAGACGCAAAATCTTGTAGGACTGGTAAAAACAGCCCGAGAACTAAATTAGATCAGGTATATCCGGCCGTGGAGGTGTTGTATTATGAAGCCTTAGCAAAGCGAGAATACAGGAATTCTACAGGAGAACTACCACATCGACATCAGTTCATCACACTACAACTTACCTGAAAGTTTACCTGAATTAAAAAACAACATTTTAAGATTAGCTTTTGCAGGAAGGAAGATGGACTGGCACCATCCAACAACATATCCCTTAAGCTAACAAAACGCGATGAATTCTTAGATATATATCCTCCTATGTTGTTGACTTCTTTACCAAACAAAGGTCCGGATCACACCAAACACAGACTCTCTACACAGAAGAATGCAAATGCTGCCACGAGAAGCTTATGGCTCTGGAATCTACAGTAGATGGTTTGAGTGTGATACCATCAAACGTTCAAAATATTCAGTAAAGCTCTGGACACAGAACACGCCACTGCCTCTCAATCTTCTCCCATATGTGCTCTTTTGGCTAATCGATATCGATATTTGTTTCATATATAATTCAGGTATGAAAAAAGTGAAATTAATCATGAATACTAAATATTAATGGTATCTTACGCAACTCAAGGACGATTGCCATAGCTATAAAATCCAGGGATATTTCTTATATCAGGAAGTAACAACAGCGAAAGTTTCTTAATTTTTCGAGACCTGAGTAAAAATCTAAAAATTTCCTTATCAATTGTAATATTTCATCACTTTACGAAATTTAGTTTTTCATATTTTTTTTATCATGATAACCCTGTACCACACACACACACACACACACACACGTGAAAGTGATACGCCACGCTCACTAACATAAATATAAATATTCCATTACAAGAAGTGTGGTTGACCACTCGCCACCCTCGAACAACACACGCAAAAATAAACTGTAAATTACACCAAACAAAACCCTAACAACGTGACATAAACACAACTGGAAATGGAAATATCTAACACAGAGTTAGAATGAACTGGAACTAAAATTAAAAATAAATAAATAAAACAACGTTTTACCAAAAATTATTCATGTAAAGGAGAATATTATTAGTTTCAATTCCTTAGCGATATATAATTTGTATGAAATTAAACAAAATCTTCAGTGTGTGTGTGTGTGTGTGTGTGTGTGTGTGTGTAGAAAACTATGTCATCGATGGCTAGTGTTATCATGATCCATCTTAGCCTATGTTTTGTTTTTCATCCTATTACCTAAAGTACCTAATATATGTATCACTTTGCTTTCAAGGATTACCTATAAAATATTCCAAGTTATATGCGCCTAAATGTTAACTAATTGAGAGCTAGTAGAACTGGACTTATTTTGAGTAGGCGGAAAGGACTAGACAAGGCACACTACACATTAGTTGTCCCGTATGTGGATTAAATTAATTGCTATGAGTCAAAAGTCAAGGTTTAAGTTACCTACATAAAGTAAATTTTCACCTCTATTAATACAGATCCTTGCTAGCTGACAGTCTTAATAGTCAACTTTAATTTAAGTCTTAAGTATAACATGCAATTAAGTCTTAAATGTTATTGGTAATTAATTTGTCACCTGTAATTACATCTGAGATTACTCTTTAGTAAAAAATAACCTGCAATTAGTTTGTCACCTGTAATTAAGTTATCTGTATCTAGTGTAAATCTGCAGAGTAATTTTTCTATATACGTTTTACCACAGAAAACGAATACATATTCCTAGATAACTTTCAAACCACAAACAATGAATGAACTTTTCAATTTGTTAAGTCATAAACATGTAATATACTTTCTCCCATGCATCTGTCAAACCACAAACAACTAAATAAGTTCCTCATGAATTTAAACCCACTAAGACACTCATCTATTCTACAATCATCATTTACTGTACCAAAAACTCATGCTATTTCAGATGATTTCTTCAAACCAAGAACAATGAATATTTCAGCATCTTTATATCTGCTAACATCAGATACATTTATTGAAATTTCTCTCTAAACAACAAGGACGCTTCTTTTCTAATCACATTTGTACCTTCTAACAGCTGAGCCACTTTCCATATACAGTATATCTCATTCCTGTAACAAATACGGTACACCTATATTTCAACCGGTTAACTTTAAGCACGTTTCTATACATCTCTTAATTAGGTAACACCAAAATATTATTTTGTTTGAGTTTTACCTCACTAATCAAATTAATGAGTTTTAAACAACGAATTTCAAACAAATTTAAGGTTGCAGCCAATGAATGACTTCTCAATACAGTATATTTAACCCATTAACATATTAATAAATTATTCTTTGCAATTCTTGACCCACACACCGTCACACCAACTTGGACAAGCTTAAGAATTCAACATCACTTCCTAACTATTCTGGGAAAATGTGGGACAGTTAAATTTACACAGGTCTTTGGGCTCGGCTCTATACAGTGTTACACATCAGGGAGACAGAGGGGAAGGTGCTACGACAGACCAAGACCCTCACTTTAGCTGAAGATGTCGCAACACCCCAACTCTTAATAACAAACAGCCACCACCCACTTATTCTTTCCTTCCATCCAAAATATTCTTCATCATCCCTATAACTATCCTATCCCATATCCCTAAATAAACATGCCCTGAGGCCATAATATACCACAAGAGTGTTAAGTAGCCAGTGTGTCATAAAACGAGTAACGTGGGGGATAATTAAGCGGTGTGAAGCTTCTGGTGGCCTGCTGTTGCGGGTCTCGGCCTGTATAAATACGCAGCTCGACAGCCACTAACCATCTACTACTAGAGCTTGTCTTCTCCTGACAACTACCTCCTCCTCCTCCTCCCAACACACACAAGAGAGATGGCTGCATCAAAGGTACAAACAACCCAAACGATATCTTTACAAATTTGTTAAACATTGACACAACTGACGATTTATTTTTACAACAATACCTAGAAAACAGGAGTCACAGTCTTCATATTCAAATTATGTTTATACACACTAGGTTTATATAATGCGTATATACGGCAATGTATAAAACACGCCTGAAGTGTTTATGCTATAATATAATAACGTATATCAAAAGATATAAACGACTCTAAATAAATATTTACGTCACTGTTAAGTTTAACTTATGACAAACCAAACGCACTCTAAAGTATATATGTTTTGGTGTAGTTAAACTGCCGCGCACTCACATTACTGTTAAGTTTACACCGTTCTATGAAATACTCTAGCAGTAGTATCACACAGGCAAGTTTACTGCACCATATATTACTACCACAAAGTAAGACACACTGACACCATGAATATTGTTCCGTGTTAAGCTCAAGAATTAATAAAACAATACAATAACTGGTTATCTTAAAGAATATGAAGGCAACTGATAACATTAGTATGTAATAATTATTCAATTAATTTATCAGTAGTTGTTAGGCGATGCATCTTTTGTGATGACGCTGGACACAGCTGGTTATGGGATATTATAATTAAATAATTTAAATGTTTAGTTTCTAAAGCTTAAAGTTTTATCTTGTGAGAAGAAATGACTGCATATAACCTGTTCCCGAGTCCAGTAAGGATACAACCAATATTTTTGTCCTCAACAACCTAACTCCTACAGTTGCACCAGTGACCAGTAATACACTTCCGGTGAGTCAACCTAAATAAGTAACTTCAAAATATCAAATGTACTGATACATGAAATGACCATTATAATTATCAAAGGCGGATCCCCCCATCACGGCCACTCGCCAGGAAATATATCAATCGAATTAGCTGTTTGATGAGTGCTGCTCACCCGTCACCATTCATTAACTCTCTAATTACATGTTCGCCACTCAGACCACCCCTCAATTAACGTGATTTTCCGTTGACGTAACATATTTAGGAATCACTAATTGCCAATCAGCGTTGTCAAATGTTTTACATAAAATAAGTAAAATCTGTCAAAGAATTTACTCCGCTTGAAATTGTAAAAATAATTATTTCAATATAAATAGTTGGGCGTCGTATTCACCCTGGTTATTACTTTACTGTAGCGCTGGCTGAGGCAGACACTGTATATTAGCTGAGGAAAGAACTGTATCAGCTGAGGTAAAAGGTATATGGCTGATGAAGTCACTGTACTGCACATCACCCTCTGACATCTTGTACTTCCCTCCAGCAGATGGTTTTCGTGATGGTACTGATGGGCGTGTGGGCGTCTTGCCTTGGCGTACCGCAGTATCCTCCCCCCCACCCACCACGCTACACCCCAGCCCCCTCCTACAAGGAGCCGGCACGCCCCTACAGCTATTCCTACTCTGTTAATGATGAATACAAGGGCCTGCACATCAGCGCTGATGAAACCTCCAATGGGGCCAGCGTACAGGTAGGGGGTCAAGCACACCTGGTTATATGGTTACAACCTTCACATTATCACCTTAATCACGTGTACATGACACAACAACTCACCTGATCAGTTTGAGGACCTCGGTCACTACTGCTACACATTACACATTTAACTAACCTTTTAGTAGAATAAACCATTTAAAAAAAATATGTCAGAAGGTCTTTAGTTACCTGTTAATATTGCATCTACACTCTTTATTGTCAACAAACTTTAGACATAAAAAACAACGCTCTTATGCCCCACTGTTGTGCAGCTTCTGATACCCAATAGTATCAACCCGCATAAAGTAACCTCAGTTATCATTTAGCCTGTGGTACCCTACCGCATCAGGGTACCGGGAGCCACCTCTCGGCTACTCATTAATCGCTCGTTCTCCTTCTTCTTTCCAGGGGTCGTACCAGGTAGCCCTCCCGGACGGTCGCCTCCAGAACGTAGCCTACAACGCCGACCACTACGCCGGGTACAACGCTGATGTCACCTACACCGGGGAGGCCCAGCACCCACACGAAGCTCCCCGGTATCCCCTGCCCTATCGCGGCTAGACCTACCATATCCAACCCTCTCCACCTGGTCTACTCTGTTATGGCTTCTTTAGCTTCCAGCTCTCTTAATTAGCTTCGCAAGTACTATTCAGTATTAAATGAAGTCTTCAAAACAGTAACTTTTACATTTCTTTAACGAAAATATTAGAAACTTCTTCATTGAACCTACCATCAAAGGGATTACTCCCCGCCATAAACAATGGCACCATTTATTGAGGTTAGAATTGCTTCAGCGATCTATACTAAATTGTTCTACTTGTTTTGTTAATTCCTACAAAGAGGCGAGATCAGTCACCTGACCTATGAAGCTTCATTGATCTGTCGGTGGAGTTCAGCGCTTGTGACGCAAATCGGTGCATGATGAACTAGTTAAGAGTCAAGGCAGCGGGTGTGACGGGTCAGCTGTGTCTAGCCACCTGAGCAACACCTTGTGGCCGTAACTTCCCTCACCCACGACCGCCAGAACCACATACGCCCACAATCGCACACGTGACCTTCACACCATCATAGAAATCCAAGAACATTTTCTTGGTCCACTAACGCCAGGAAACAGTCCCACCACAAGTATCAACACCCACGCCCACTAACACAGTCACCAAAAATATGACACCCACGTGCACTACTAACACACGCCCATCAGAAGAACAAAATTATTTCCCTTCACGTTAACTGCACACTGACAACCACTACACCCTCCCACACCCAATACACACACTACGTCCCACACACTCAATGGGCATCCAGTATACAGTACTCCCATTGCCATACACACGTCGCTGCCGTCTTTCTTGCTAACTTGCTTTGTTGTGGATAAATTTTGTTTATTGTTGAATACTGTTGCACATTTTCCAATAAAAGTTATTAAAAATGTTAAAATTGAGTGTATGTCTGGATTTCAACCTCTCTGTCATTACCAAAGAAAGTTAATCCTCTTCTCTATTACAAACAACGAGACCATTATCCGCTATAAAATTATACAGCAATAATGTACTTCATTATTCATGTACTCGGTAACTTCTATATACTTATATATGGAAATGTAACTAATTAACAAAAAACGAGAGGAATAACACACATACACCTCGCTCCATACACAAACACCTCCCTCCATACACAAACACCTCCCTCCATACACAAACACCTCCCTCCATACACAAACACCTCCCTCCATACACAAACACCTCCCTCCATACACAAACACCTCCCTCCAGATACACAAAACACACCTCCCTCCAGATACACAAACACCTCCTCCATACACAAACACCTCCCTCCTCCATAACACACACCTCCCTCCATAAACCTCCCTCCATAAACAAACACCTCCCTCCATATACACAAACACCTCCCTCCATACACGTCCTGATATCTTCAACTCGTGAACAAAAAACAGTGTACAAAGTGAAGCGGTCAGAATTAAGCTCCGAGTTACAAGGTTGTGTATCATTAAATTCATCCATAAAACTGCCTGAACCCTGAACAACACTGGTACATCCGGGTCATGAACCCTGAACAACACTGGTACATCCGGGTCATAACTGCCATTTGAACCCTGAACAAACTGAACAACAGTACTCCGGGTCATAAACATTTAACAACACTGGTACATCCGGGTCATGAACCTGAACAACACTGAGTACATCGGGTCATGAACACTGAACAACACTGGTACATCCGGGTCATGAACACTGAACAACACTGGTACATCCGGGTCATGAACACTGAACAACACTGGTACATCCGGGTCATAAACATTTAACAACACTGGTACATCCGGGACATGAACACTGAACAACACTGGTACATCTGGGTCATGAACACTGAACAACACTGGTACATCCGGGTCATGAACACTGAACAACACTGGTACATCCGGGTCACTGGGTACATCCGGGTCATGAACACTGAACAACACTGGTATATCCGGGTCATGAACACTGAACAACACTGGTACATCCGGGTCATGAACACTGAACAACATCCAGGTCATGAACAAAACAGAAACCTTATATTCTGGGAGACGATAACCGTTAAATATATCCAACAGGTGATAACGCTTAACTAAAAGGCATTTACTGGATCAAACTAACACAATTAACGCTTTAAAGTGTTCGATACATTTAGAGAAAAAAAATGGTAAAGTTTGTAGCCGACAGCCGTTACTGTCGTCCAAAATGGCTGGCGACTTTCTCAGTGCTATGGCGTCACTGAATTCCACTTGTATAAACATTTCTTCTGGAGAATTAAAAAAAAAAAAAAGTTGTATGCATAATTAACCAAAATATACACCCACATACATCTAAAGTGATAGTGGTATTAAAACTATACTTTCATAACACACCAAACTAATATATTTTGAAGTGAAAGTATTACCACATTATAATCTCAACACATACACACAAGTGCCGTACCTACCTTGAGGCAAAAGTAACATTAAACTAATTATATATCAATCTCACGGAGGTTATCGGCACAATCACCATCCATTTGGAGATTGAAGTCAGTGATTGGGAACGCGAACACTTTCACCATTCATAAGGGAATTATGATGCAATGACGTGGATTGGTTAGAAGAAAAGATTCGCTAATCCATGAACTAAGTTAGTATTGGACATAAATCAAAGAAACATTATTGATAAAAAGACAAACAATCCGATAAAAATGATTAGTAAAGATAAGCTGATAATCAGATGAATATATAAAAAAAAATTAAATAGAAAAATAAAAAAACAATGATCACAAATTTACCTTTAGAGGCGGTAATCACCCGAGTACGATAACTTAAATTAATTCTTTGAGTACAATGCTTTAAGTCCACGAGTACTATGTCTTTAACCCCCTGAATACAATACTAATCCTCAAGTCACAGTAATCAAAGGGAAAGAAATAACCAATAACAGAACACTAATATCAATAAAGAAACTAAACGAAATAAAAAATATAAACAGGAAATGGCGAAGACGAGGAACTGACAATAATGACAAATTAAAATAAAAACTTGAAATCAAAAGAAAAATTATACTAAAAATAATAAATAAAGGACTGATACAAATAAATAATAAAACAGGCAAGCAGGAAAATACAGAATAAAGAAAGAATTAAAAAAAAAACTTGAAAATCCAATAGGCAGGAATAGGAAAAATATTCGACAAAAACGTAAAATAAAAGTAAAAAAGAAGCGGAAAAATAAAAAAAAGATAAATTCAAAACAAATAAATAAAATCGTTGACCCTAAGGCGTGGTTCCTCAGACCTACACAAGGCAACACACTCACTCAGCGTTACCAAGAGGTCACCACGTTACCCCATTGAGCGTGACGGATCTGATGACAACTACAAACATTGGAACACCTGAAGATTAACCGCCCTAATCTAACCAAACCTAATGTAAACTCAGCTAACCAAAAGTAATCAAACCTCAGCTAGCCAAACGTAATCTAATCTAACCTAAATGTAATCTAACCTAATCTCATGCAATCTTACCCAACCTCATGTAATCTAACCCAACCTCATGTAATCTAACCTAACCTCATGTAATCTAACCCAACCTCATGTAATCTAACCTAACCTCATGTAATCTAACCCAACCTCATGTAATCTAACCCAACCTCATGTAATCTAACCCAACCTCATGTAATCTAACCCAACCTCATGTAATCTAACCCTAACCTCATGTAATCTAACCCAACCTCATGTAATCCTAACCCTAACCTCATGTAATCTAACCCAACCTCATGTAATCTAACCCTAACCTCATGTAATCTAACCCAACCTCATGTAATCTAACCCAACCTCATGTAATCTAACCCAACTCATGACACCATGTAATCTAACCCAACCTCATGTAATCTAACCCAACCTCATGTAATCTAACCCAACCTCATGTAATCTAACCCAACCTCATGTAATCTAACCCAACCTCATGTAATCTAACCTAACCTCATGTAATCTAACCCAACCTCATGTAATCTAACCCAACCTCATGTAATCTAACCTAATCTAACCCAACCTCATCCACCAGTCAATATGTGAAATGAGCTGGCGAGAGACGGGGTGGCTAATCTTCAGGTGATCCGAAACATTAATAAACGCACCAAAAATAATGAGACAAACAGGTGACAGACAGACAGACAAACAGGTGACAGACAGACAAACAGGTGACAGACAGACAGGCAGACAGACAGACAGACAGACAGACAGACAGACAGACAGAGAGACAAACAGGTAACAGACAGACAAGTCACATTCACCGACACCAATGTGCATGCTGGCGTAAAAAATCTTTCATAACTGGAGCCAATGTTGTGGGTCATTTAAATGTTACAGCCGCCACCACCACCACCAGAGGGCGTCAGTGTATTAGTAACCTGTCATAGATTTCGGTAACTCCCCCCCCCCTCCCCAGATTTCGGTAACTCCCCCCCCCCTCCCCAACTTTCCCTCCCTCCCCTGAGAGTCAGAATCCACCCAAAGCCGAGTTAATTTAAACTAGCCAATCATAGTGTATTCTAAATATTATCTATGCAATCCCTAAACCTTACCACACCTAACCTAACTTAACCTAACCAACCAACCCGACCGTAATCCTAACCTAACCTAACCAACCCAACCGTGATCCTATCCTAACCTAACCAAGCCAATCCCTACCCTAACCTATTCCAAACCTAACTTACCTTTAACCCAACCAAATCTTAACCTAGCCTAACCAAACTCGTGAACTTAAAACAAGATTCCCGGTTCAAATCTGAGCGTAAATCTGGAATTCTAATGGGCCTAACATTCGCAACTAAGCACCAATGTTGTGAGGTATATGAATGTTCAGTCACTAGGTATAAACACATTCAAAAGCTGAGGCCGATGTACACACGTATGACTAGATGTTTGCGACCCTTCCCCAACACCTGCCTGAAGGAGCCCACACCGCCCCCGGATATGAGGTCTGGCCTGTATGTATTGGTCCACACAATGCCTCCTGGGCGGTGATTGACAGTATGTAAGTCTTGATAATCACTCACACACACACACACACAGAGCAGCAATAACAACAACAAGCCAGCGAGACATCAACAAGCCTATGTATAACTTGTTACCATGACACAACGAACATGTGGTTAAGGTAATGACGTGGTGACCAAAACATGAGGACAGTAACAGGAAAATATCACTGAAGGTAGGCGTTACAGGTCATGGTTGAGTGGCCAGGTGCGTTACAGGTTATGGTTGAGTGGCCAGGTGCGTTACAGGTTATGGTTGAGTGGCCAGGTGCGTTACAGGTTATGGTTGAGTGGCCAGGTGCGTTACGTTACAGGTCATGGTTGAGTGGCCACAGGTTATGGTTGCGTGGCCAATGCGTTACAGGTTATGGTTGCGTGGCCAGGTGCGTTACAGGTCATGGTTGAGTGGCCAGGTGCGTTACAGGTCATGGTTGAGTGGCCAGGTGCGTTGGGTCATGGTTGGTTGAGAGGCTAGGTGCGTTACAGGTCATGGTTGAGTGGCCGGGTGCGTTACAGGTTATGGTTGCGTGGCCAGGTGCGTTACAGGTCATGGTTGAGTGGCCAGGTGTGTTACAGGTTATGGTTGGTGGCCAGGTGCGTTACAGGTCATGGTTGAGTGGCCAGGTGCGTTACAGGTTATGGTTGAGTGGCCAGGTGCGTTACAGGTTATGGTTGCGTGGCCAGGTGCGTTACAGGTCATGGTTGAGTGGCCAGGTGCGTTACAGGTTATGGTTGCGTGGCCAGGTGCGTTACAGGTCATGGTTGAGTGGCCAGGTGCGTTACAGGTCATGGTTGAGTGGCCAGGTGCGTTACAGGTCATGGTTGAGTGGCCAGGTGCGTTACAGATCATTATTGCTTTAATGCTGTACTGGCCTATAACGGACTCC